GGAGGAGGGTAATCTTGTCTAGCTGAACCAGCAGGCTCAGGCTCAAGCAGCCCAACAGGCAGCCACAGCACAGATAAGCACCGGCCTCCCCCACCTTCAAGCTGGTCTCAGCCTGGGAGTCACGACGCCCAGCTCTCACTCTCTGGCTGTGGGCCCTGAACCTGTGGCTTCCCCTCCTGAGGCGTGATCTTCCTCCCTGAGGGTTGAGCCAGTTGACCTCCATCATATGAACCTTTAACGGGACTTCCATGTGCAAGGGTGTCTCCGACATGGGTGAAGCACAGCCCCTGCCCTGATGGACTGACAGGTGTAGGAGAGGGGGTGGCCAATGAGGCGGTGTCACAAAAGTGTGAGAGGCCACAGGGGGAGTCCTGAGAGCCACCCAGAAGGCCTGGGTTCAAGGCCCAACTCTACCCTGTGTCTTAAGCAAATTTCCTCAGCTCCATGAGCCTGAGATTTCCCATCTATAAAATGGGAACAATTAAATATATGCAGAAGTACTTAGAACAGTGTTGAGCACCTACTCAAGGTTATGATAAATGCTATTATTTATTACTGTTGTTGTTATTACAAGGCAGAATGTGTACATGCCTTCATGGAGATATAAAACAGGCTGAGGCCATTGGAGGAGGAAAGGTTCATGGGGATGGGGGGGGGGTGGAGATCTGGGAAGGCTTCTTGGAAGAGGTGCCCATCTATATATATAAAGAGCCAGGGGCCGTCGCATCTGAAACAACGGAACAGACGACCAAACAGGCTGCATGGGGCAACCAGGCCAGCAGTGGGGTTAGTGAGGGATGACCAAACAACTGAGCAGCAGGCTGCGTGGGGTGACCAGGCCGGCAAGGGGGCAGTTGGGGGTGACCAGGCCAGCGGGGGGGGGACAGTTAGAGGCAACCAGGTTGGTGGGGAGGGCAGTTAGGGGGTGATCAGGCTGGCAGGGGGGCCAGTTAGGGGTGATCAGGCAGGCAGGCAGGTGAGCAGTTAGAAGCCAGCGGTCCTGGATTGTGAGAGGGATGTCCGACTGCCGGTTTAGGCCCG